GCCCGCGACCCACCCCGTGACCAACTCGCGACCAACCCGCGACCCAAACCACGTTGAGGGTACAAACCACATTTTTCGGCGCCTGCGGCGGGCATCTTTTTCATTCGTTTCAGGTGGGCAGCCCGCGACCCACCCGCGACCACGTTGAGGGTACAAACCACATTTTTCGGCGCCTGCGGCGGGCATCTTTTGCATTCGTTCCCGGTGGAGAACCCGCGACCCACCCGCGACCCAAACCACGTTCAGTGTACAACCCAATCTGTTTGGCGCCTGCGGCGGGCTGCTTTTGCATTCCTTCCAGGTGGAGGTGGAGAGCCCGCGACCCACCCGCGACCCAAACCACGTTCACTGAACAAACCAATGCCGCACAAGCGCGGCGGCGGATTTGTGCATGCCGTCTGAGCCCGCAAGGACCTCTTCAAGCCCCGCGCATCCACGCCAGCCCGTCCAGCAACTTTGCCCTGGCGAGTTGCCTTGATCAGAGAAGTCGGGGAGCATAAAGTGGAAAAAAGGATTGTGTTGCAGTTATCTTGGGAAAGGAGGGGGAGGCAGGAGGAGTAAACAGGGGACGAGGAGGACGCGGAAGAAGAGAGGATGTAAGGAGAATGTGGAGAAAGAAAAGGAGGAGGAGCAGGAGGACGAGGAGGGGGAGGAGGGGGAGGAGGAGGACGAGGAGGGGGAGGAGGGGGAGGATGATGATGATGGACGACAATGGGAGGACGATGATGGAGGCCGATGAAGGGGGAGGACGACAATGGGAGGACGATGATGGAAGGACGAGGGGGGGAGAGGGAGGACGAGGAAGAAGAGGAGGAGGAGGACGAGGTGGAGGAGGAGGATGACGATGACGATGAGAACGAGGACGAGGAAGAGGAGAAGGAGGAGGAGGAGGAGGAGGAGGAGGAGGGGAAGGAGGAGGAGAGCGCCATCGGCAGGGGAGGTGGGGGCCACGAGGTCCGCCGGCTCGACGACGCCCGCGTCGCCCGCGCCCGCCCCTCACTCTTATCCGAAATTGCGGGGTGCTACGTATCTTCCTCCTCCCTCATCTCCTCCTCCTCCACTTCCGCCTGCTCCTCCTCCCTCCTCCTTCTCCTCCAGATCTGCCTCCTTCTCCTCCCTACCACCCTGCCCGACTGCTCGGGAGGAGGAGGAGGCAGGAAGAGGAGGAGGAGGAGGAGGAGGAGGAGGAGGAGGAGGAAGGAAGGGGAGGCATGAGGGCCATGCAGTGATTTGGGGTGCCTCCCCGCAGATTGTGGCCTCAATTTGAAGATTCGCTTGTTACCCCGAAGGACTGTCAAGAAGGCCTGCTCGCAGATCTGGCAGCTTCGTCAGTGATCCTCCTTGTGCCTTGTCCTCATCCACCGGAGACGGGACTGGAAGTGGGCAGGGAAGCGTAACGGGTGAGAGCAGCCGAGATGATGAGGATGATGAGGTGGATGATCAGGGCTGGGACGATAGGGAAGGAGGAGATGAGGAGGAACACGAGGCGGAGGAGGAAGACTGCGAAGAACATACTAGTGCCTGCGGTATAGAGGAAGGAAGGTCTGGGTGGAAAATATTCATGAGTGGAAAGAATTATGAAGAGGAGGAGCAGGAACATGATAGGGGAAACATGTGGGTGGTGGAGCAGGCTGACCAGTGAAAACCCAAGACGCATCCAGGATGGCGCAACACACCCTGTCTCCAAGCTCCTTGTTCACAGGCCCCTACACGAAAGTATTTGTTTTCGGGAAGGGGCCGATTAGAAGACAATCGTCTGAAAGCTGTCAATCGCTCCCAAACAAGTAGGGGTCCAACGTCGCGGGTCAATTCGATTCTGGCGTCCTGACGATCCTAACTGGCGACCGTGCAGAATTTCTGGGACTCCAACCCAAATAATCATCAACTTGACTGCTGCGTTTGTCAATCCTAACCGTGCGTGAACTCCTATTCCTGGCACTTCCATTCAACCATACGAATTCTTGAAACTGTAGCGAACTTGTGCGACAAATATGGGCGGCGCTAAGGCGTGATTCAAATGTTCAAGAGACAACGCTCTCTATCTGGGCAGCTGCTGCACACTTTAAGGCGAATGCGCGCGGCGCTATGGAACAAAACCGCATGTTTTAAAGGAACCGCCCTCCACCCGCCAAACGGTGGCAAACTTCAGGCACGAATGTGCGCGGCGCTGGAGCGAGAGCCAGATTTTGACAACGGCTCGCCCTCCATCCTTGAATGTGCTGCAAACTTGTACGGCGAAAGGGCGAGGCGCTCAAGCGAGAGCCGCATTCTGACAACGACCCGCCCTCCATCCGTGAAGCCGTTGCGAAATTTCGAGCTCCAGGGCCATGGGCGGTGAGGAGGCCTCACGCGAAACGCCTGGCCCGCCCTACTGACACGTCTGGGGGTTCTGCGACGGGAGGGTGATTTTTCTGGGGGAGGAATGCAGGAGGAGGGTGAGGCAAAGGAGGATCGGCAGCAGCAGGGGAGGGCGAAGGTGGAGGAGCAGCAGCTGCCGAGGGGCACGCCTACCTACTGCTCGTGCAGCCATTTTGGCCCAGGCCGGTCTGGCCTGCTTTCTGCTTGTCTCCCGTGCGCGGCGCCGTTCCAGGTCGCCCCCCGGCGGAAACCTCCGCCAATCCCGGAGGAGGAGGAGGAGGTGGAGGAGTTGGAGGAGGAAGGGGAGGGGGAGAAGGACGAGGGGGAGGGGAAGGAAGAGGAGGAGGAGGAGAAGGGGAAGGAGGAGGAGGAGGAGGAGGAGGAGGAGAAAGAGGAGGAGGAGGAGGGGGGAGCAGCGTATCTCTTCGTCGTCCGCGGCGTCGGGGGCCTCGGCCGAGCTCCGTCGCCTGTCGGCCCGACCTGGCACAGGTCGCCCCTTTAGATAGGCGCGCCCGCCTCCGGGGGCCTCGAGGAGTCGAGACGTCGCTCTCGGCGAAGTTCCGGCGGCAGAGACCCCAGATCACGATGCGGCGTCGCCTAGAAGGTACGGGTCCCAATTGGTTAGGGGAACGAAGAATGACATAAACCTAAAACTCGGAGGTCCGCGCGGATTTCTCGGATCGGCGCTAGGGGCGCCGCCAGGAGGGTTCAGCGCGGATCCGAGAAGTTCGCGCGGACTTCCGAGATTTTAGGTTCACGTAATTCTTCGTTTCCCTGGATGTGGAGACTCCTCGAAGATGAGGATCCCGATTGGTTAGGTTAGGTTCTTATCTGTGATGATGTCTATGGTATGCTCAGTTCGCTATCGTATACTACATGAAGCTATGGCCAATGGTGCTGGATCTGACTCGCCGACACATGGGTAACAGTAGTGCAAGAGTTCTACTATGTCATGATGGTTACGACGCGCTCTATTCGCAACAGTATGTTGATATGATCATGCTCGATGTTGTTGCGCTAAAGTATGTCGGTTATGTTCTTGACGGGCTGGCGTGACGTTGTGACGCTTCGTTGTTGTGCCTGTTTGCTCCTATGGTAACCCTAACCTCGGCCCGCACGTCGCGTTTGACTTTAGTGTAGCGCTGTGGCAGTGTGATGCAATGCTTCCCCATGTTATGACATGCGGTGATCCTGTGCTGTGTTGTGATCTGTTGACATTGTGTCAGATGAGATGCGTTGTTATGTTACGCTAGGGTATAGTGTGTTCTGCACTTGCTTAATATGTGTGGTTTTACGGTTTGCCCTGTATGCTTCATGATGTCATTGCATGCGTTGTTGTGGGGTGTCCTGTTATGCCCTGCTCTCACATGTTGTGGCATGGTACACGTTGTTATACGATGGCGATATCATATATCATGTTCTGCCGCCTTACGTAGTGTGTTGCCGCGCTATTTCATGGCATGGGTTGTCATAGTATGGAATACTATGCTTTGAGTCTGATCTACTTTGCGATGTGTTCTGCCATGCTATCTTACGGTATTGCGTTATATTCCGTGGTATGCTATGCTATGCCCTTTTCTGAATGTTCAATCATGCCATAGTTCTTCAGTGTCATGCTGGTTTAGTGTCTCTCATGATGTAGCAGCTTATGCCTCGCTCTGTCATGTATTGATGTGTTAGATGTGCTGCGGTACCATCTGTCATGTCCTCTGTGCCGTGATGATGAATTATGTTGTGGTGTGGTCTGCCATGGTACGTTATGCGATGCCCAGTTCGGGCATTTCATAACGGGTATGCTGTGACATGTTATGCTTTGTTACGTGCGCTTCGAAATGTAACCGAATGCGTGATTATGATGTGGCGTGCTATGGTCTAGTATGTCATGGTATTCGAGGCTGTGGCATGTTATGTTGTGGTATGTTCAGTTCTGCAAGGATTTCTTATGGCAGGCGTGCGTTATCATGCACTGTAATGATATGTGCTATGATTATGTGCTGTGGTATGCACTGCTATGCCATGGTGTGGAATGGTACGATCTGTATAGTATGTCATGTTATGGTATGTCGTATTGGGAAGTGTTTCTTTTATGCGATGTGGTGTTATGCTCTGTTCTGTCAACGCTTATACTGTTGTGTTGTACAGTGAGAGCCTTGAGTAAGGAACACTTGCTTTTCAAAAGGAGCTCGGTCGTTCCTTAGGTTTGCATGCGTTCCGCTACCTTTTTGGCGGCGAGCCCCCCCGGTGTTCCTTACGATTTTGGACGCGCGGGTTCGTTTTTTCGGTCGGGGCGGACGGTCTAAGGAACGGGGCTCCACGGGGGGGCTCGGTTCCTTGCGTTTGCTCGACGTAATGCGACGGCGGTCGCTTAAAGGCCCGGCGCCTCTCTGGGGCCCTCCCGTTCTTTGCGGGGTGCGCGGTGGAGCTCTCGCCCGTTCCGCGCGCCAGGGTAGTGGCAGTAAGGTCCAGTTCCCCGCCGGGGCACTTCCCGTTCCTTGCATGTAGTTTTGTTTCAGAACATATTGAGATTCTTGGGAAATTCGAAGGTAACCCTCGAATTTCCCAAAACAACCAAGAAGAAGCAGCTAATCGATAGGGTTGAATAGCTCTCAGCGCCCCGTCATGTTAAGGCGCAGTCCCCCGCG